CCTTTTACCTTCATTAATATTATGGCTAGCATAGAAAACCATTTTTTCTTTTATTTTTTTTTTTGCCTTTTTAGGTCACACTCAGCAATGCTCAGGGGTTACTCCTGGCTCTGCACTCAGGAATTACTACAGGAGGTGCTCGGGGGACCATATGGGATGCCAGGAATCAAATCCAGGTCAGCTGCATACAAGACCCTACCCACTGTTCTATCACTTAGGCCCCAGGAAACCAATGTTTAAAATCACGATATGCAGTCGTATTTGTTAATCTACACATTTAATTTAGCAATAACAGATGAGATATCATAAAAATACTGGGTTTTTTTTTTTTTGAGCAAAAGGTACCCAGTCTGACATTACTGAAAACCACTGGAATAAAGGAACAGACTATCAGTAGGACTTAAAGAAATAAAAAATAAAAACAGCTATGCACAAGACTATGCAAAAGACTATGCTAAATGATGGAAGATCCTAGATGTATCCTATGGTAGAATACTTCTGCCTCTGATGGATAAAGTGCTAAGGAACAGGAGTGAGAGAAAAGGAAGAGTTTCTCAGATACAACAAAAAATCACAAGTCTGGGTAGCAGGAAGCACTGAAACAATGAAACAGAAAACACTGAGAACCAGAAAACAAGAAAACACCTGATCTGGGAGGGCCAGCAAGGAGTACCAGCTAAAAGAGAACCTGATAAAAAGACTCCAAGACATATAATCCAAACAACGAATAGCATAGATAAAGACACAACTACTGCAAGGAGCAAGATCAAAGAAGGAAATCACATACAAAGCCATATTCTTTAGATCTGCAGCAGATTTATCAGATGAAACCACCCAAGTCCAAAGACAGTCTTGGCATATAGCGAAAAAACTCAATGCAATGAATGCCTCACCTAGAATACTTTATCTAGCTAGACTGTCACTCAGACTCAAAGGAAGGATACACTACTTCCTGGATAAACAACAGCTCAGAAATTTCATGGACTCACAACCAACCTTAAAGGAAGAACTGAAGGGGCTACCATAAGACAAGACAAACCCCACAAGGACAACAAACCTCTACAGAAAGATGGCACAAAACCCCGTGACAATAATCTCTCTCGGTGTCAGTGGTCTAAATGCACCAATCAAGAGTCAAAGAGTTGGAGGGCCAGAGGCAGGTGAAGACCAAGCAAACATCTGCTGTGCGTTATGCAATGGGGGCAGGAGTACTCAAGAAGAAAGACAGAGACAAACCAAGTGTTTCCTGCCAGGTACAAGTGGGTGCAAAGGAAAAGACTGATACAAGAAGAGTTAGGGGTCATACTCAAAGGGTAAGAAAGTAGGAATATTAACTACTCAGTGTGAACCTTGAACAGAATTTTTTTTAATTAAATCACCATGAGATACACACTTACAAAGTTGTTCATAACTGGGTTTCAATCAATGAACAGAATTTTTTAACAAGAATAAAGAATGCAAAAAAAAAAAAAGCATGAGTGAATTAAAACCATGGTTTCATGGATGGACTGGAGCGGTAGTACAGCAGATAGGACATTTGCAGTCAGCCTGTATTCAACCTCTGGCGCCCCATTTGGTCCCCTAAGCCTGTCAGGAGTGATCTCTCTGCTGAGGTATGATAAGGGGTAAGTCCTGAGCATTGCTGGGTGTGGCCCCAAAACAAACAAGAAACCCTGCTTTCAGCTAACCAAAAAACACAATACGTGAGCTCTTTACAGGGAGACCTGCCAGGGATGAACCAGGATGGAGGGACAAGGCTCTAAAAGACAGATACTGCACCACTGAAGATACCGCAGACCTGAGGCAGCTAAGCTGCTGGCAACCACAGCCACCGAGCAGGGCAAGAAAGCCCCAAGGTAAGTGCAATAAAGATATGGTATTCAGAACATACAGTGGAATCTCACAGCTCAGAAATGAAATAGCAAATCATCCAAAACGTAAATACCGGAAGATGTGAGCAGACACTTCAAGGAAAATGCACTGAAGCACACGAGAAGATGGACATCACGGGAAATGAAAATCAAAGTTCCGTGAGTCACTTCCACTCACTAGGATAGGTACAAACAAACAACAAAAACATATTCGCTAGCAAGGCTAGAGAGAAATAAAAACCCTCATCTACTGCAGAGAGGAATGTGAAACCGTCTATTAGTCTCGTGGTTCCCAAATGACTTAAACATGGAGTTTACCATGACCCAGAAATTTCACTCAATTATAACCCAGGGAAATAATATATATCCATAGAAAAGCTTGTGTAGATAATAATTTTCACAGCAACATTACTCATAATATCAAAAAAGTAGAACAACGCACATGCTCCTCAACTGATAAATGAACAAATTGAACAAATAAGATTTGGAACACATGGAACATTATTAGCCACAATTGGGAGGGGAAAACTGATGATGTGCTACAGAATGGATGAACCTCGAAAGCATCAGAAAGAAGCCAGAAATGAAAGGCCACATATTTCACAATCTGACTTACATGAAATGTCAAATCAGGCAAATCAATATAGATAGTAAATAGATTAATGGCCGTATAGGACTGGGAAAAGGGGAGAGAACAGAGATTGACTACTAATGGGTACCTGATGTCCTTATTCGGAAGGAGTAAAAATGTTGTAAAATGAATTGTGATAATGGCTGCATAGCCCTGTGAATATGCCAGATGCCATTTAAAAGGATGCTGCAAATAGAAGAGGTATGTGGTATGTACACTGTACCTCATAAAGCTGTTTTTTTTATTTTTATACCAGGTGAAACCTTTTATTAGTTTATTCCTTCATTTATTTTACTGTTTTTTTATTATTTAATTTTTTTTATTAGTGAAACACCATGAGGTACAGTTATAGACTTATAAATTTTTGTGCTTGGGTTTCAATTATACAATGATCAAACACCCATCCCTCCACCAGTGCCCATTTTCCACCACCAGGGGTCCCAGTATCCCTCCCACCCCCCATCCCCCCATCCCACCCTGCCTCTGTGGCAGCACATTCCCTTTTGTTGTCTCTCTCTCCTTTTGGGTCCTGTGGTTTGTAAGAGAGGCATTGAGTGGCAATCATGTTTGGTCTATAGTCTCCTTTCAGCATGCTTCTCCCACCCTGGGAGGATCCTTCCAACACCATTTATTTGGTGCTCCCTTCTCTATCTGAGCTCCCTTTTCCCCTAGCACGTGTGGCTGGCCTCCAAGTTATGGAGCAAAATTCCTGGTACTAATCTCGGCCACTCCTGGGTGTTAGTCTCCCATTTTGTTGCTTTATGTTCCCCAGATGAATGCAATCTTTCTGTGTCTATCCCGCTCTTTCTGACTCATTTCGCTTAACATGATACTTTCCATGTAGTACCACTTGTATGTAAATTTCATAGCTTCATCTTTTCTAAGGCTGTTTTTTTTTTTTAATGCTGCCTTCTTTGTGGGCTCTATGGAGGTGATGAAGTGTCAACATGGAGTGGTCAATAATTTTAGAAGAACTTAGCACTTATTTTTCTCAAGAGGCCAAGAAGTGAATAGAACAACTAAAGGAGAGCAGAGGGCCACCAGGTCTGATCAACAGACAGAGAGAGGGATAAGGCAAAAGCGAGGGAGAGTCTTGATTGGGATTTCCTCAGAAATGGAAGCATGACGGGGAAGGGGAGATCGTGGCTTCATAAATGAGAGAATCTGGTAAGGAGGTGGTTGGCAATGAGCCTTCTGATTCCAGAGGGAGGGTCTGCTTATTAAACAAAAGCTGGGGCTGCCTTTCAGCTGAGATCTCAGAGGACAATCTCACCTCGGGGCCATAGACCACAAATGCCAGAGCAAAAAGAATAAAAGAAAATAAGAAAGTTAAGCTGGTATCTTTGGCCTGATGCTGAAAGTTGCCAAATGCAGAACCTAAGAAAACAATAAAGAGAGTAGAAACTCAAAGTCTGATTGATATTAAAGTTTAGATGGAAATGCAGAAAAACCTAGAAGAGTGAAAACAATTTTCAAACAAAACAAAAACTCAAGATAGAATTTATGCTGCATGATCTGACTTTCTCAACCCTATAGTAACTAAAACAATGAACTCAGTAGAAAAGATAGTCAGATATATTAATGAGACAGAAGTCCAGAAATAAGCTGGCCCGTATCTACTAGTCTTATTTCTTACAATGACTTAAAAGCAATTCAATGGTTAAAAAGTCCCTTTCAGAGCTCAGATAGAGAAGGGAGCACTAAATAAAGGGTGTTGGGTGGATCCTCTCAGGATGGAAGAAGCACGCTGAAAGTAGACTATAGACCAAACATGATTGCCACTCAATGCCTCTTTTGCAAACCACAACACCCAAAAGGCGAGAGAGAACAAAAGGAAATGCCCTGCCACAGAGGCAGGGTGGGATGGAGGGATAGGGGGTGGGAGGGATACTGGGACCCGTGGTGGTGGTGGAAAATGGGCACTGGTGGAGGGATGGGCACTTGATCATTGTACAACGGAAACCCAAGCACAAAAATTTGTAAGTCTACAACTGTACCTCATGATGTTTCACTGATAAAAATTAAATAAATAAGTAAAAGAGCCTCAAAATAAAACAAAATACTTTACAAATATGAATGGCCAATATGACATGCACACAAAAAGATAACAGCATCAGCAGAGTACAAATTCAGATCCCAGTGTTACTTCTTTACGCTTACTAGAAAAGATTTACAATACCTTACAATAGTGAGATTATGTAGCAACTGTAACTTTCACAGTGTTGATATTTGTTACCTGATGTAGGGGGACATGCATTGACTAGAAAAGGCAGGAGTGAATTTACTACAGTGGAAAAAATTAGTCTCTTGCTTGTGGTGGATAACTGGCTTCTACAGTCACCAAAATTTGCTAAATTAATTTGACAAATTCATTCAAAATCATTTCATGTATTAAACAAAAATGATGCCTGCAAATGATAAAATTCATTAACTGCATGTAATAGCCATATAAAAACTACACCAAACAGCAACAGTATTTGAACAGAAAAAAAAAGTACCTTTGTCCACCTGCAGAGCTTCACCCCAGAATGGCTCCCAATCAACTGATAACCTGAATAAAAAAAAAAAAAAAAAAAAAACAGGAAAAACAAAACTGAATTGATACAGTCTCTTATGTATAAACAGAGAATATAAAATTGAGGCAGTCATTTTCGTTGCTTAAATAAAGGCAGGCAACAAAACAGTAGCTGAAAACATTAAAAATTAATTCACCAGAATGACAAAACAATTTTAAGTGTTTATGCACCTAATAACATATTCTCAAATAAACAATAAGCTATTCCAAAACTGCAGGAAAATTTTTAACCTCTCTCTGTGTCTAACAGATGTCACAGACAAAATTCAGGAAAACTCTAGCATCTGAGCAACAAAACAAACCTGATCAAAATACAACTGCAGAATGTACCTGCTTTACGAGAACACAAGAAAAATGTATAAAATAAACCACATTCCGGGCCAAAAACAAAAGCAAACGACTAGATTTCAAACTAGTGACAGAAAAACTATTATCAGTCTGGAAATGAAGCAATGGACTAATAGATTAAAATAAATATTGCACAGGGCTAAGGATGCATCCGAAAAATAAAGTCTCCCAAACGTGGAAAAAGCAAATCCTAGGAAAAAAACAAATGAATGTAAATTTTTAGCATCATTCCTCTATCACATATAAGACTTGAGCCAGATAAGACATGAAAAGGTGGGGGGGGGGGGGGGGGGGAGAAATACCAAAGTAACCACATTTCCTTTATTGACAAATTACTGAGGAAACAAGTAAAACATTCTGATTTCAGAAGAAATGTAATAAAGTTCCTCAGGAGGCTTCAAGTAATAAGCTGCAATTATCCAGAGTCCTTCGCACAAAAAAGGCTCTTGACTTTCAGTCAAATGAAACAAATAAGGAAACAGTACAGATGACAGCCTAAGTGGATCAAGTAGCAGGTTAAACCGGTATTCACAGTGTAACAATTAATGGAATAATGTCAATTTGGATTACAAGTCTCTTGTGGTAACATTAGGGCTCTGTTTTTTAACCTCTTCTACACTTATGTCAACATCTCGATATCAATAAAGCACTGCTTATCTACTTGAAATTGAAACGGTGCCCAACTGGTGGGTGAGCTAATCTCTCTGGTCCTAGAACAGGCATTTTAAAAGATCCCCAGATATAAAGGCAGATTCTCAGGTCAACAGAATAATATTAAAAGCCCAGAGATAAACCTTCAAACACGTGGAGGCAGTTTATGAAAACAGAGCTACGTGCATGGAGTGGAGCAAGGAAAGACTCTTCAACAAACACAGTTGGGAAAACTGGTGAGTCTCACACAAAATACTAATCTGGACCCCTATCTCAAACCATACACAAGTATACTCAAGAAGAATTAAAGACCTTGATATTACAACCCAAATTCCTAAAATATATCAAGGAAAACCTAGGAGAATTACATATTAACTTCCTCTGAAGGTATACTCAATAAATCAATGCCATTCGTGAAGAAAACAGAAGCAACAATAAACAAACAAAACTATCAAACTGAAGTTTCTGCACTGCAAAAGAAATGACTTGGGGCTGGAGCGATAATACAGCGGGTAGGGTGTTTGCCTTGCACACAGGACCCGGGTTCAATTCCCAGCATCCCATATGGCCTCCCGAGCACTGCCAGCAGTAATTCCTGGGTGCATGAGAAAGCAGTAACCCCTGTGCATCACCAGGTATGACCCAAAAAAAAAAAGAAAAAAGAAAGAAAAGAAATGACTAAAATATAATATCGAAGATATATATAGCACTCATAAAACTTAACAACAAAAAGTAAACAATATTCCCATCAAGAAGTAGGGAAAAGAGATGAAGAACTACTTCCTCCAAGAAGATACACAGATGGCAAATAAGCAAGAAAAAGTGTTTCTTCACTAGTCTATCACGGAAACGCAATCCAAAATGACAAAAAGAGACACACCAGTGGGAATGAGACACATCAAAAAAACCTGAAATAACCAATGCTGGTGGGGATGTAGTCTCTGGTTCAGCCTCTACGGAAACTGAAGAGACATCTCAAAAAGCGAAAATAGAGTTCCATATGACTCAGCATCTACTCTAAGAGCAGGAAAACATTAGTTCGAAAAGATATTTGCACTCCTATGTTCATTACACCACCATTCACAAGAGTCAAGACCTGGAAACAGCTCAAATGCCCATCAGCAAGAAAAATGGATAAACTAAAGTTTATATATACAATAGAATGCAGCTCAGTTAAAATAAAAAAATAAACTGTCTTGCCTTTTGCTACAATTTGGATGGAACTGAAAATGTCAGAGGGAGCAGAACAAATAACAAAATGGTCCCATTCATATGTGGCATACAAAGAGACATGTAAGGAAATAAACAATAATTACAAAAACCAACTCTGGGAGTCTACTTACAGAAGGGTTTACTGAAAGGATTTTGGAGGAGGGGCAAGGGAAATAGGATAAAAAGGGACCAGATACAGTAGTGGAGAAATGCTGGCATTTGGGGCTGGGGAGATAGTACAGTGGGTAGGGCATTTGCCTTGCACGCGGCCGACCCAGGTTCGAGTCCCAGCATCCCATATGGTCCCCTGTGCACTGCCAGGAGTAATTCCTGAGTGCAAAGCCAGGAGTAACTGTGCATCGATGGGTGTGACCCAAAAATTTTTTTAAAATTTAAAAAAAAAAGAAACGCTGCACTCTGGTAACACTGTATTTCTACAATATTAATAGTAACACTACTGTACATCATGGTGCTTAAGTAAAACTATTTTTCAAAAAAAGTTTCCAAGAGAAAATTCTAATTCTTCTTCTGTTTTCCTCAATTACATGTTGTATCTATCACTAGCATAAAAATAAGTTACCTTAGTTCTCTTTTTTATTTTTTCAAATTTTATTAACGCACCATGAGTTACAAAGTTATTCACGGTTGGTTTTTTGACATACCAAGTTCCGTCACCAATCCCACCACCAGTGTCAACTTTCCTCCCCTAGTCTTCCCAGGTTGCCTCGCCAACACTCCCATCCCGCCACCCCAGCCGTGGCCTGTCTTCTTGACAGGAATCTTTTCTATCTGATTATTAAAGTCTGAGTCTTCAAAAGTAGATAGAGAGTATTGGGGAAATTGCCTGCCATGGAGGCAGGGTGAGAACTGGGATGGCGGGAGCGGGTTGAGGGATATTCTGGGGACACTGGTGGTGGAAAGTGTGCATAGTGGAGGGATGGGTGTTCGATCATTGTACAACTGAATCTCGAACATGAAAGCTTTGTAACTCTATCTCACGGTAATTCCATTAAAAAAAAAAAAGTAATGTGGAGTTCTTGCCCAATTCAAACGGCTTAATCAATGGCTGAAAAAATAGCAGTACTCCTGCATTAAAAAAATAAATAAATAAAGTCTGGGTCTTGTGATTTCGGTATTGTTGACTGTGTGCTTTGGGATATTTAGCTCTGTTATTTCTTTACACCAGCCATGGACCTGAATCCCCTTAACTCCTGTCCCCACTGCTTTTCCTCTTCTCCCCTTCCCTTCCTCCTCTTTCCTTCCCCTCCCTATCCTCTGAGACCAAGGGTGATCCAGGCATCCCCCCTTTAAACCACTGCATTTCTTCATCCAGTTACTCTAAATACCACATGTAAATGGTATCTTGTGTGTGTCCTTCTTCTAGCCTACTTCATTTAACAAAGTGTCTTCCAGTTCCATCCTTGTTGCAGCAAATTGCATGATTTCATCATTTTTTATAGCTGCACAGTATTCCATTATATATACCACATCTTCATGATCCACTTAATTGTGACCTTAGTTCTTTATATGCTATATATTCTCTCTATATATGTGTCTATACGTCTACATACATATATATGCCAAGATATAGAGTTCTACAAAATCAGACACTGAAGTAGTTATGGAAACTGCATAGGGCTCTATGCAGAGATCTGTACCAAGTTTCTCATCAGAAAGCAACAAAGGGCAGTAGAGACAAGTAACAAATAAGGTGAGTCTTAATTTTCACCCAATTTACTTATTTGAAAGCTTTCAGCATCACAGAAGGGAGAGCAAACCCAAGTAAAAGCAATGTCCTCCCTGAGTTGAGAAAATGGAGTGAAAAATCTGAGAACCTATATGGTGAGAGTTTGCAGGGCTAAGTTCCAGAGGAGTAAAAACTACAGAGACTGAAGGATTCCTCTCTAGTATTTGCCTGAGCCCTACTGTGTATGGCAGAGAAAGTACCCAAGAAGAAGAAAAATCATCATCTGAACAGTTCAGACACACCTGTATCAAAAACAGTGGAGAACTGTATCTGTTCCTGATGGTGAGATAAGAAGCTTCTAGATGCATAGGCTTTGCCTCAATAGTGAGGTGTCTAACTACTGAGGTGAGATAGTGCAGCATGTAAGGTATGTGCCTTGCCCATGGTTTCCAGAGATGGTATCCCATATGGTCCCCCACGAGTGATCTCTGAGCATAGAGCCAAGAATAAGCCCAGAGCACAGCTACTCCCCTCGAAAAAAAAAAAAAAAGAAAGAAAGAAAAACCCTATACAGTTATGTGTTCATTCCTCTTAGTGAAACAGGACCATATCCAGATCTGCTTTTATGTGAAACACTTCAAACTAATTAGTCTAATATCATACAAGTCTTTTCTAGGTTTGGTCACTTCCCCTTAATGGAGGGTGATTTGTAGAGAAGTCAGTGGCAACATTTTCTACCTGCACATCAACCCAGTAGATTAAGAAAGGAGGGAATCCACTGGCCAAGCAGACAACAGAAACATAAGCTCATACATACAAGGAGACCCTTAGCCGCCCCTGATGCCACCATCACTTAGCGAAAGGCTACAAAATCCTTCCCCCGGTTTCAACTTCCTCTTCCAGGTGTTCAACCCAACTGCTTAGCGCAACAACTCCTGAGAATGTTCACCTTGTTTCGTAAGAGCTTCTCGGAGAGCAGGAGTTATCATAGCTCGTCGCTCACTGGCTTCATTCTTTAGTGAGTTCCTGAGCAAAAGGGCTTTCTCTTCTTGCTGTTCCTTTTCTTTCTATATAAAAATAAACAGAATGAAATGCAGAACTGGTGAGGGGCAATGAAATAGCAAAACAATCATGAACACGTAGTGCAAACCATGGCCCGCGATCTTGTACAGTCCAATGTGATCACATTTCCAGTGAGACGATGCTCTAAAGATATTCTAGGGTCTTTCGAACTCCCACCTCCCCATAGTAATTAGATACTAAAATGTACACCATATAAAACGTAAATCAACAATTCACTTATCTAGACACAAGTATCTCTAACAATCTAACTTCAGCAAATTTCTTCTTTGAATTTCAATGACTTCATATGAAAAACGGAGTTAATAACATCTAAGAGCGTGGATATGCTAAAGATTAAATGAAATAAAGCCACAAGGCACAGTGCCTAATATATATGTTGGAGCTGAATAAACTACACCAACTGCTGAGCATTACATCTGTAAGCCAAAGTGCCATGTCCTATCAGCCATCAGGGTTATGACACCACCTCCACCTGTCACCATAAAAAACGTTCTTCAGTGAGAGACAGAAGTCTTATGGACAACATAAAACAGACTGTTTCTTTTTTATTTTGGCCACAAGAAAATTCTAGAACACACCTTTGATCATTGCCAGCGACCTTGCAACACGCTCGTGTCATATACTCTGTGGGTCATGTCATTTACCCTTTCCATTAATTTCTTTCTCTCTTTATAAATACCACAGCATTTACTTATTTTAAAAACTTATCTTAAAATTTTCTGGGAAGAAAGCAGGATGCTAATTAACTTCAAGACAACACACAAATTCTGTTACATTTTAGAAGATACTCACAGATCTCAGAGGTATAGACATTCAAAATAACTCAAAGTGGTTGCAAGCCCCAGACTGCCCTTGGTGCCTGTCTATTCATGATATCCAGCAACAGCAAAAGGCAAGAGGATTCCCAATAATACACTTTTCACCTGAAAATGCCAATCCCTCATGGAAGCTGAGGTCTATGCCAAACCAATACAGAAGGGAGGATGGTCCACATATGAAGCTGAGCATCAGGTCATAGGAATTCCCTCTATCAGTCAACTTCTGCGACTCATCAGAGTTCACTTTATTATTATGTTAGTCCTCTATACCAGCATCCTTCAACCTTTTCACACCTGAGGACTAGGATCCATCCTGCATCCAAGCCCACAAGTCAGTTCTTAGAATGGATGGCAAGCCAGTAATTTTCAACTTTACTACACCTGTGGACCACAAGCACCTTGCAATGGTGGTTGAAAAATCACTGTTCTCGGTGATTTTTAGAAAACTACAGAGTGAATGGGCTGGAACGACAGCACAGCGGGTAGGCGTCTGCCTTGCATGCAGCCGATCCGAGTTCGATTCCTCCGCCCCTCTAGGATAGCCTGGCAAGCTACCAAGAGTATCTCGCACGCATGGCAAAGCCTGGAAAGCTACCTGTGACATATCTGATATGCCAAAACATTCACAATGGGTCTCACAACTTGCTGTTAGACGTTACTGGTGCCCACTCAAGCAAATAGATAAGCAACAGGAAGACAGTGACAGTGACAGAGTGAATCAAAAAAAAGAAGATAAAACGTAAACCAATGAAATTTGAAGTTACCTTCCTTACATTCTGTTACTCAGAAACTTGCTCTGAAATAGAAAGTCAGTGAAAAAAAAAAAAACACTGCAGAGACTTAAATGTGCAAAATGAGAAATGCAAACCCACAGTAGGTTCTATTTATCCTAAAAATCAGCATTACTAAATATAATCAAAATACAAAGTTAATAAACAATTTTGCTTCTGTTAACAGAGTTCCAACTATATACTTCCAGATGGAATTGATAAAATTTATAAACAAACATCAATTACTGGTTCATATCTATTATAAAAGAAGTTGGTTTAATGCCATTTTACTAAAATTAAACAGCTCCTGTTATTATTTCACCAAAATAGTTCAAGATAACATTTTGACTTTAAGACAATTTCAGCCAAAAGCAAAGATGCAAGCGTGAAAGGAAATTGTATAATGAAGCAAATCTTGACTCTGAGTGCATTTAAATGTCTCTGAACTAATTCCACAGCGAGTGACAATAATTCCCTAATAATCATGCAAAACTTGATGAAGAAGCAGGCCTATTTACTATAAAGCACCTTATTTGCCTACCCCCAAAAGCCACAGAAATCCAAAAATGGACCCAATCCTTGATTCTGGCCTCTGAGCTCAGTGCTCAGGGCTCCAAGCTCCTCCTGTGGTTTCAGAAAACACAACTGGTGACCCTTCTGAAATAAATACCGGGAGTATCTCACCTGCACGGCAAAGCCTGGCAAATTGCCCGTGAAGTATTGGATATGCCAAACACAGTGACAACAAGTCTCATGATGGAGACGTTACTGGGCCCACTCGAGCAAATAGATGAACAACGGAAGGCCAGTGCTACGAGTGCTGCAGTGCTACACTCTGAAAGAAAGGCCCCTGCATGCTATCCACGCCCCAACACGGGAGAAGTTATTGAAAAGCACAGTCTAGTGAGCGAGTCTCCAGATTCAATCACTAGAATATAAAATTTTACATGAAAAGAGAGCAGATTCTGATAAAGGTCTTGAGCACTGGGACAAACATTTATCATTCATCCTTCTAAGGCAGTTTGTCTTTTCAAGTCCTATCTTCCATAGCAGCAGCAACTTCATTCCTGCAAAGAAATGCAATAGCTCAGGGCATTCCCCAGGGGAAGCATGAAGCACCATTCAAATTCTAATTTTAATCTCAGAGGTGCAGATACTGTTCACTTAGGCCCAGAATATAATAATAACTATCACAAAGGCCCTAAAATATGTTTTGATTATTATGGCTGCTATACAGCCTAAATGGAAATTAATGAGACCCTCCCTGTTCTTAAAATTGAGTTTTAATTCCTAACGTGTGGATTCTTTCAATCCGCAATTTTGCCTAGAGATTCAGCTCTTAAAACACAACCGTTAATAGCTAAGCTAAATCGTCTCCCTGCAGCCAGCCTCTACACTCCCCGCCCCCCCCCCCCCCCCAAATTCCTACCCTTGATGCTTAAAGCCTCTCATTTGTGCCTTGAGAGACAGGAGCAACCACTCCAAGCTGCTGATTCTGGGCATTTAAAGGTGCAACGACAGGATCTTGTAAGGTGCTATCTGAGACCAGTTCTCAAAAGCAGAGGGCAAGAAGCCCATTCAAGATTATTAGCTAGCGACTTTCATGAGCAAGGCAACTTAACCCACCAGGATCATTGAGGGCATCCAGAAGATGAGTTTGATTTCCCATACTTCTGGGGCCTGAGCCAGTACGGCAGGCTGGCACCACCACCAGCCCCGCCAGGAGTGCACCAGGAATAAGCCCAGAACACAGCTAGGTGTGGCCGTAAAACCAAATATAGATATATATAGATATATATATTATATATTATATATTATATATATATTATATCATACATGCCCACAAAAAATGTAAAATTTACAGAAGCCCTGAGACTGTTCAGACAATCTTAACTCCAAATTAATATTTTAAGGCTATATGCCAGGAAAACAAATAGAATAAACATTACAAGAGAGGGAGTGGTTAAGGCTCAGCCTTACATGTTTCTGATGGGGGGGGGGGGGGCGGAGGGGGAGGGAGGGGGTGTTTAATCCTGGACATCACAGGGTTTCCAGGTATCTCTGACAGGGGGTCCTGACCAGCCAGGATAGTGCAGGGAATCCCCAGCACTGCAGGCTAAGAACGATGCGCCCGCGATGCTCTTACAGCTGGCCTGGCCAAAGAACACTGGGAGGAGCTCCCAGGTTCAGGATGGGCCAAAACCAAAACAGTTTCAGAGAAGCAGGGAGAAGAGCCCCCAATTGCCAAGGCCCTGCTCCTGGGTTAGGCAAAAGTCACCTTCTCTCCTGTGCCTGCCCCAACAACAGGCAAAAAGAAAAGTTGATTCCAAATTAACTCTCCAGGTACTTATAAAAAGGAGTCTACGTGAAAAGTTCTACACAAACACAAATCGGAATGGACAAACCTTGTAATGATGGGAGCAAGGAGTAATGCTAGTCTTCTTTTAATAAATTATACAAAATTACCTAGTTCATTTTGACACCAACATCCCAGAAACCATGGTACCACCTCAATTTTGTGTAGGATAAACACAAGGCAAAGGAGTCATTTGTTAGTATTTTGGTTTTGAGGTTGTTTTTCGGTTTGGGTTGTGTGGTGGTTGTTGTGTGGTTTTGTGGTGGTGGTGGTGGTGGTGGTGGTGGTGGCGGTGGTTTTGGGCGACACCTGGTGGTGCTCAGGGCTTACTACTGGCTCTGCACTAGGGACCACTTCTGGTAGGGACTGGGAGGTAACAGAGGGTGCCAGGGAACAAACATGCATCAGCCACTTGCGAGGCAAGCACCTACCTGCTATACTATCACTCCAGCCCCTGTTAAAGATTTTTGAGGTACAATGAATAACTGCCAAACAGGTATTTACAACAAAGTTTTTCATTACCAAAACACACGTGGAAGATGCTCGACTCCAATTCGAGTAGGCTTGGAGGTCTCGGCCCCAGAACCCACGTGGCTTTGTCCCTCTGCCAGTACCTTCATGTGTGCGGAGAGTGGTCTCAGCATGGTGGTGGCTGGTCCTGGAGGTCTTCGGCTGCCGGAGCCCTGGTCGGGGCGGGGAGGAAAGCTCAACCCGCTCCCCTCCAAGGGGCTCCGGGAAGGAACACCCAGGCGCGGGGGCAGAAGACTGCACTGTTCTCGTCCGGGATCTGGATTTTATTGGAGTCGAGCATCTTCCACCCAGATCCTCCAAATTCCAGTAGGCGGGGGTCACACCCACCACCTGGCCCCCTGGCGCCGTGTAATCCCATCAGCGGCCAAGACTCAGAGACTATAAAATCCAGATCCCGGAACCGCGCAGCCGCAAATGCGGCCACGCGACATCTTATCAGAACCTTTTTTTATGACATCTTATTGTCTCATTACTACTTTGGACAAACTTGCAGGCTATCGAATGTAGCC